CCTCAGCAAAATAGTTCGGGCCTTACTTAGGTACGTCTCCCCGGTGTTACCGTCCCGCGCTCTTACATACCCCAGCACTTCTCTGCGGGTTTAAGGTTCAGAGTCCCATCTTGAGAGACCCCCCCCCCCCCCCCAAAAAAAGAAGGGCTGTGACTTGGCCTCCAGAAGACTCTGGCGCCCGAGCCCCTGCCTAAGGACTTCAACAGCTTCAAGTGATGGGAACAGCGAGGCAAATGACCACTACAATGCTACAAACCTGCAAAGCCTCAACCCTACAAAGCTATAGGGATCCTACACTGAATGAGATAGAGTAGCGGGCCTATCTAGGGATTTGATTCTCTCCCCTCCCCCACAGTCCCTGCAGTTTGGGGATTTCATTCGCCTAGTCTAGCTGTCAAAAGGTGACTGCGGATCAAATGTGGCATGTCCATGGGCGTTCACTACCATTTGCTTGAAGAACCCCCCCTCCCCCCCCCCCCCCCCCGGCAAAAAAAAAAAAGCATTAACAAAAAAAATAAAAAACAGTAATAAGCAAATAGTAACCCTTATATTGCCCGTATAATCAATATATGTTCATGTCTTGGGTGGTTCTTAAGCAACTATTTGTGAACCCTTTGGGCAGGGTTGAGGCTTGAGCGTTCAGGGTTCCTGAGCACGTCTGTTGTATGAAGCCCGTCGTTTTCTTGGTCTCACACAGCAGACTGGCTGAGTAGAGTTCCGAGGTGGCTTGACTTAGGGCTTAGGGTTTAGGGTTTAGGGTTTATAGGGTTTCTAGGGTTTCTAGGGTTTCTAGGGTTTATAGGGTTTATAGGGTTTAGGGTTTAGGGCAGTAACGCCACGAACTGAGCACGTACCACTTCACAAGCTTGGAAATGCGCTCTGCCGAGTATGAGTAGGACCCCGGTGGAATCACTGCTGGGAATGAATCACTCCCCAGAGCCGGATAGCCAAGCTAAATGCTTCGGGCCTTTTAGTTTTGATAATCCTAAACCCTGAATCCTGACAGGTTCTGGCATGCAGCTGGGGGAAGGGCTTATAGGGTTTGGGTGTTATCGGGGTGTAGGTTAAGGGGGTGAGGACTCTCTGGGCCCTGTTTAGGGTTTAGGATCTAGGGTTTAGGTTTAGGGGGCCCTTTCGGCATCGCTGCTGAGCCTTCGAGCCGTATCCCTTGCCTGCTTGCGCCCGCGCCACTGCGAGTCGCAACCCTGTGCTTGGCCCCGACATGCTTACTCGTCGCCCCCCCCCCCCCCCCCCAAAGCCTTTCACTAATCCCATCCGCAAACTCACCTATTCTTCCCGAACCGAAACCCCCAACCCCTAAACCCTAAATCCTAAACCCCTCAAGAAGTAGCCCACGAGTTGCTGCTAGGAGGGGCATTGGTTGAAGGCTTTGGGTTTAATCTGGCTTAGTGCTCTGGCTCGGCTCGCTGGGACAGCAGACCTCTCAGAGTCAGCTGCGAACGCGGATTCCCTGTGCAGTCCCTGTGGCTTAGGGTTTAGGGTTTAGGGTTTAGGGTTTAGGGTTTAGGGTTTAGGCTGTAGGGTGACTGAGGCTTCGAAAACTCGGAGAGGGCATCTGAAACATCCAGGGATTCCACGGACTCCTTGGCAATGAACCCGGAAGTCAGATCCCTTTGTGGATTTGGGCAGCGGCAAAAAGGGGTTTAGGGTTTTGTGGTAATAGGGTTTAGGGTTTTAGGGATATATATATATATATATTATTATTATATTCTACATATTATATATATATATATGTATATATATGGTACCCCCCCCCCCCCAGTGACCTACCCTTTTTCGCCTTGTCTCAAGTCACCCAGCTGCACTGCAAGCAAACTCGGTGTGCAATATAGCGTATTTCCTAGGGCGTAGACTAAAATACAACTAAATCGCATGCACGGGACAGTAGAAAAACCAAAAATACCAAAACCACAAAAAACAAAAAACCAAAACCAAAAAAACCAAAAAAACCAAAACCAAAAAAACCAAAAAAACCAAAACCAAAAAAAACAAAAATACCAAAAAAAACAATTTTCCGGGACTCTCAGGAAATCCCTATGAGGCTTCTCCAAGAGGTCCCGTTGGTTTTTTTGGTTTTTTTGGTTTTTTGGTTTTGGTTTTTTTTTGGTTTTTTTTTTGGTTTTGGTATTTTTGGTTTTGGTTTGGTATTTTGGCTTTTTGGTTCGCCTTCACGGTCACGAGGCAACAACTACGCATTTTTAAGTGTGCTTATGCTAATTGTGCTTTTCAGAAATAGTATACAAGTGGTCTTTCTAGTGCTTCAGAACTATTTGTTTCGTTATTATGTAAGTAGAGCCGCTAGTGTTTAGTGCATCTTTTGGTTGTACTCAAGTGTAGTAGACCTTATTCAGCCATTACTTGGTGCTCTGGTAGCTCAATTCGCATGGATAATATTTGCCTGGTAAATGCGATTAATTATCTAGAAGCAGCATTTGCAATACTTGTCTTGAGAAAAAGCATTTATTGCTTAGAATTGTTTGCTTAAAAAGTGACCTACTCGTCCAGGAATAAAAACCCTATAATCCAAACTTTACCAGAGATTCTCCTGAAAAGCTTGCGCTTTTGGATGTTTTTATGTATTTGTGAATTTGCTTGTGTATGGCCTTCACTAAGTACTTTTCTAGGATTCTTGTGCATTTTTAAGCCTGATTGTGCAAGTTGCGTTTTTCAAGCATAGTATATATGTGGTCTTTATTGAATACTTCAGACATCTTTGTTTCATCGTTATGTAAGTAGAACCGCTTCTATTTCCATTATTGTGCATTTTTAAGCTTGCTCATGCAAATTGTGCTTTTCAGACATAGTATATAAGTGGTCTTTAGTGAATACTTCAGCAATCTTTGTCTCATTGTTATGTAGGTAGAACCGTTTCCATTTCCGCAAGTGTTTATTTCGTATTTGGTTGAGTATGGTCCTTTAAATAGTATTCACTTGAGTCAAATTGGGCTATTTGCTTAAGAATTCCTCTAGTTAAATTCGCATAGAATGAATACTTCAAAAAATTGTTTCATGAATATGTAAACATAAGGTGTTTCATTTGACTTTGCAGATAGTACTTCAATTTTACTTTGCCTGGTATAAACACAACTGTTTCAATGCATTAGTTGCTCAACAAAGCACTATTTGCCCTTTAAACCACACTTTGCCATATTTTGGTTGAATATGGTGTTTCTTTCGTATTTTGGTTGAGTATGGTCCTTTAAATGGTATACACTTGAGTCAAATTGGGCTATTTGCTTAATAATTACTCTAGTAGCTAAATTCACATGAAATGATTATTTCAAAAATGAAAACGATTCATGACAATGTAAACGTAAGGTATTTCAGTGGACTTTTCAGAGAGCATACTTTGCCTAGTACAGACACAATTGTATAAATACAGTATTTGCACTTTAAACGCACACTTTGCCATTTTTTGGTTGAGAATGGTGTTTATTTCGTATCTTGGTTGAGTATGCTCCTTTAAATAGTATTCACTTGAGTCAAATTGGGCTCTTTGCTGAATAATTACTCTAGTAGCTAAATTCGCATAGAACCAAGAAAAATGTTTCACTATTTGATTAATACTTTGCCTCGTACAAACACAATTGTATAAATAAATTAGTTGCTCAACAAAACATTAATTGCCCTTGAAAGGCACAATTTGCATAGAAAAACACTGATCTAAACATCTAAAGACAGCATTGTCCGCTTCATATTCAAAATGTAGATTCTTCCAATGCTGGCTTATCGGGGTCTGTGAGGTCGGTGTCCCAGTAACTGTCCTTCATTACCCGGTGATTAACTACGCGACTTTTGGGCCTTTTTTGTTATTTTTTGTTAACAAGGCCTAAAAAGGCCTAAGAAGGCCTTAAAAAGGGTAGGTCGCTGGGGGGGGGGTAGCATATATATATATACATATATATATATATATATTATATATATATATATATATAACCAGGACGCGTCCCCTGACACCGTCGCGCTTGCCAGCTCCTTCTTCTCTCGAATTGTGAATGGGCGGCACAATTTTACCAAAATAGGGTTCCCCTACCCAAAAAAAATGCACCCTACCTAAGGGAACACCATGATTGAATGACTTGATCAGGAGGGAATTCAGGGGATTCTGGCCCCTTTGCTGCTTCCAGATGCCAGCATCCCCTTCCGCCCGCGGCTGAAACCCTTAACCCCAAACCCTCAACCCTAGTTCCTACTTACAGCTTCATGGGTAGCTGTAAGTAGGGTAATAAGTAGGGCAAGTATAATTATGACCTTACTTAGGGTACTTATAACCCTACTTACAACTACCCATGAACCTCCAAGTAGATTTTGGACCCGTCGACTTCTCAAGCGCGGACATCAGCCCACAGCCGCACGCTGCTTCCTGCCGGCGGCTCCTCGGCACCCAAAGGTTATTTCCACAAAGGCTGCGAGGGCAAATGCAACAAGGACCCCAAGCCCCAACACGTTGTGGAAGTTTAGGGTTTAGGGTTTAGGGTTTAACGGTTTAGGGTTTGCACCGCTTGAGGGGCCTGACTATGAGTTACAACCGGGCATGCTCCCAGATGCAAGGCTGTTTTGGTCCAGCCGTAAAGTGCAAACATGATATTGCCTTTGCACCAGGTGCGCACTCGTCCATGCCGTAGAACCCAAAGGGTCTTTGCACCTGTGAAGTATATGCTCGGGCCTTAGAGGGGTTCCTATATGCTTGACGGCTCAGATACATACTTGTTCGGTACATGTATCTGCCCCCCCCAAACACAAAGGATACTCATTCCCATATTGCCCTTAAGGAAGAGCATTGTGCTTTGTTCTTTCGTTTGTTTTTTTTTTTTTTTTTTTTGGGGGGGGGGGGGGTTCTTAAGCAATAGTAGTTATAGTGATGTTCACCCTAAACCCCAAACCCCAACCCCTAAACCCAAGACCCAAAAACCCTAACCCCTAGGCTTTTAACCCTGACATGGTTTAGGGTTTACAGCTTCCCCAGTCCAAGGACCGCCATGGCAACTGCACCCAAGAAGCCGACCGCGGTGAACGCCGTTCCTGGGTACTGCATTGGGTTTAGGGCTTAGGGTTTAGGGTTTAGGGTTTAGGGTTTAGGGTTTAGGTTTTAGGGTGTGAACCTGGCGGGACCAGATGAACCTTAAATATCGGGATGTCCCCCCGTATACTAGCAGTCCTTAATTTAGGGATTATAATTGGGGGGTACCCTAATGCTTACTAAGGACTGTTAGTATCAGGGGGGACCAGATGAACCTGAAATGGGTTTGCGATTCTTATACCTCCTTCGGGAATATAGCAAACGAACCCGAAGTAGGCTTGTGATTCTTATACCTGAATAGGGAATCCGGGATCTTGGTAGTGTTAGGACCCTAAACCCTAAACCCTAAACCCTAAACCCTAAACCCTAAACCCCCAATTGTAGGGTTCATTTGGTTCAAGGTGTAGTTTGCGGGCATAGCCTGCCTAGCCCCGATGACAAGCGAACCCTAAACCCTATACATCCACCTAATAGCCCTAAACCCTAAACCCTGTACACCCTATCAGCCCTGTGAAGCCTGAAGCCCGAACCCGTAAAACGTCTGGACTGATGTTGGGTCGATGAACACGCAAGTTCCTCATAGTAATGAGTGCGCGTGTGATAGGCCCTAGGCCCCCTAAACCCCCTAAAACCCTAAATCCCCCGAAACCCCCTAAAACTCCAAACGCCCCTAAACCCCTAAACCCCTAAAAGCCCTATCACTCAGGGAACGATGGAGGCGGCTTTCCGGTTCCTGGCAGAAGAGATCCGGCACCACAGCTGCCTCGTCGAGGGCCTGGGGTTTAGGGTTTAGGGCCTGGGTTTAGGATTTAGGGTTTTGGGTTTAGGGTTTAGCTTTCAGGGTTTAGGGTTTAGGGTTTAGGGTGCAAGAAGGGTTTGGGGTTCGGGCTCAGGGTTTAGGTTTAGTTTTTTTTTTTTTTTTGGGGGGGGGGCTTGGGGTTCAGCATTTAGGGCTCAACATAGTTGAGGGTTTGGGTTTCGAGGGCTTGGGGGTCAAAGGAGCTCACCAGCTGTTTTCTACTGCTTGTTCGAGAAGCCTTCCCAAAAATGAAAAGATAGTCTTCCTTGTAAGGCGATTTTTTTGGGGATTATTATTGTCTACGTTTATGGGCGGTTCTTAAGCAAGTAGCTCTTCTGCTTTAGTTTTTCCAGCGCATGGGAATTCGCTCACTTCCTGCATTCCGCCCACCACTGGCACCCTAAACACTTAACCCGAAACACTGGCAAACAGTTCCATGCCCAGGCAAGAGATGCGGGCTGAAATGCCTCTCGGTGGCATTTTTCCCCTATTTGCATAAGAACCCCCCCCCCCCCAAAAAAAAAAAGGTCTTCCCTATAAGGGCAATACAGGGATTATTATTGTAGATTTTTTTGGTTTCTTAAGCAAGCAGTAGTTTTGTTTGAGAGCTCACGCTTGGGATGCTCCCGCTTATGCAAGCAGCCCTTTATAGGGCTCATAATAGGGGGTACTATCATTCCTACTAAGGACTGTTATCCCCTAAACCCTAAACCCTAAACCCTAAACCCTAAACCCTAAACCCTAAACCCTAAACCCTAAACCCTAAACCCTAAACCCCTAAACCCTAAACCCTACTATAAGGGGGAGCATCCCAAGCTCGCACGCTCAGACTTTATGAGAGCTGGTAGGTCACGAAGCTCCGACGGCCTGACGAAGCCAGGGTCCATGAAGTGGGCGCCGTGCGACTGTAGGGTTTAGGGTTTAGGGTTTAGGGTTTAGGGTTTAAGGATTCATTCTCAGCTTCGACGGTTTAGGGTTTCAGAGTCAGGCATTTAATGTGGTCCCAGACCTTCTCTTCAAAGGGTGTTCTGAATCATGGGGTCCTTGGTTAGAGGATAGGAGAAAAGCACCTTCGGAACGGACGCCCATGGCAAGCCATCCTGAAATCCTCAAATCCCTGGGTAGCCGAGGCATGGGTTCTAAACCTTGAAGAGGCTTGAGGGTTTAGGTTTACACTAAACCTTAAACTAAACCCTAAACCCTAAACCCTAAACCCTAAACCCTGAGCAGATGGTGGCAAGGATGAAGGTTGTCGAGTCGACGGTCTCCTGCTGTGCCAGCATCTGCATGGACAGCAGCTCGTCCTTGTTGCATCAGGGCAAGTATTGCTACATGGGTGTTTGCGGTTTAGGGTTTAGGGTTTAGGGTTTAGGGTTACTCAAATAGGGGGGCCCCCAAATAGACCCCAAATAGCACCCTTGTAATAAGGCCCCCAAGAAGTACCCCCAATTTCGGAAACAGCCATATATATACATGCGTACTTAAATATCGTCATGTGTATTTTTCTATATATATATATATATATATACATATATGTATATATTTATATATCTTTACATGTTCAGAGTTCTATTCGCATGTTTATAGTTGTCTTTATACTGATATGTTGTTCTACATGTTCATGATTGCAAAGGGGGGGTGGTCTCTCATGCCCCCAATCAGGGAGACTTGGGAGTGTTTTTTTTTATTTTGGGTACCACATCGGAAGAAACAGTTTTTGAGTTACCCCCCCACCCCCCCACCCCCCCCCCCCCCCCCCACTACCCCCCCCCCCCCCCCCCCCCCCCCCCCCCCCACCCCACTCCCCCCCCCCCCCCCCCCCCACCCCCCCCCCTCCCCCCCCCCCCCCCCCCCCACCCCCCCCCCCGCCCCCCCCCCCCCCCCCCCCCCCCCCCCCCCCCCCCCCCCCCCGCCCCCCCACCCCCCCCCCCCCCCCCCCCGCCCCCCCCCCCCCCCCCCCCCCCCCCCCCCCCCCCCCCCCCCCCCCCCCCCCCCCCCCCCCCCCCCCCCCCCCCCCACCCCACACCCCCCCCCACCCCCCACCCCCCCGTTCAAGGTTCAACGGCTAAAGGTCCATGTACCCATGTGGTATATATGAAGTAGCTTTCGGGCCCAAACATGTACTACATGGGTACATGGACCCTGCGAGTGAACGCTTCAGGGCTTGTGCTTCAGGAATGCAAGCTCTTAGAGCTGAGCTCTTGTCCGAGTTCGAGGCTCGTTGCGTTCCTGTGGAGGGTTTAGGATTTGAGGGGTTGGGGCTCCCGTCCCCCGCCTCGGCCCTCGGCCTCAGCACAGGTTCAAAAAGGGGTGTTACTTGTAGGTTCATGGTACTTATTAACCAATAATATCTAAACTTATAACTGTACTTATAACTCACATTTGGGCACTTAAGGGGCTTATCAGTGGGTTATAAGGACAGTTATGACTGGCTAATGAGTACCATGAACCTCCAAGTAGAGGTTTAGGATCCGTGCAAGACGCAAGGGGCTTAGGGCTCTGGACTCTGGTTTAGGGTCTAAGAAGAAATCTACACCAGCGGTATACATAAGGTGTTCCCAGGTTACGTCGGTCTCGCCGGGTGGAGTTCAGAGTCTGGGGCCTAGAGGTGACTGTTCAAGGTAGGCTTCTTAAGTCTGAGGTGTGAGGGTGGTCCCAAGACTCAACGAATCGGCTGTCAATGTGGGACCCCCCAGCTGTGAGATTCTGAAATGCTTCAGTCGCCTTGTGCTGTCGGTTGTTCTGCGCAAGTAGAGGGAGAAGAGAGAAAAAGAGAGAGAAAGAGAGAACAAGTGAGAAGAAGAGAGAAAGAGAGAAAGAGCTGCTGACAGCTAAGTCAACGGTTTACCCTAAGGGTCCATGTACCTAAATAGGTAGTACTTGGTCCTTAAAGTCCCTCCTATGTAGGGACATTTAAGGCCCAAGTATTCCCTATCTAGGTACATGGACCCTTGGGGTAACCCTAAACCCTACACCCTAAGCCCAGGCGCAAGAAGGCTGTTAGGAAAGTTGCCGTCGACAGGAAGCGAGTCAGCAGAATGCCACCGCCGCGGCTAACCCGGTGAAGTCTGCCGCAGACGAGGCACGCAGAAGGAGTTTATTTCAATCCTCGAATTTCAAGGTTTAGGGTTTAGGATTTAGGGTCACAGCCCAAACCCGCAAGATTGCGAGGCGATGCAGGTTACCGTCCCCGCCTGAGCTGCAAAAACAGGTCAGACGGAGGACAAGCTTCTACGAGCTCTACACTGCCGACGAGGTGCAGGGAGTCAGGGTTTTGGCTAAGGGTTTCTGAGTGTTTTGGGTGTCACGTTTAGGTCAAGTTTAGGACGAAGTTGGGAGGGTGCAACTGCCAAGGGCATTTTTTCTTTCCTCGAATGCATTCGCACGCTCCGTTGAAGAATGCAGAGGCGGTGGTGATTCCTCCGTCCTTTGCTGTTTGCATCATTTGCTTCTCGAGCCCCCCCCCCCCCGCCGTGACGAAGACACTGCCACTGACTGTAAAGCGTTCCTCGCAGGCTTTTCCGCAGCTTGTGCTTTGATTCAGTCGTCGAGATACCTGACAGCTTGGGTTTGCCAATAAGATGGGGCCACAGCGCACGAGCAAAACATGCCACGTCCGGGCAAAGACATCAAGAAACCTTTAGCAATCGCTACCAGGATCTAAAGCCTGAACGCTAAACCCTGAACCCTAAACCGCCCGGCCGTGGCAGTCGGTGTGCGTCTCGATGTTACCTTAGGAGGGAACACCCCGTACTATACTAAGTAAAGAGGTCTAAGGTGCAAGGGTCTAAGGTACTATACGTTACCTGAACCGCCTTACTATATGCTAAATAAAGGGGTTTTAGGATGTTATAGGGTTCTATGACTCTACTGGTAGCCGGGCACCCCCTCCCTGACATGTGTTCCCACTAGGTTTTTCCTCTGCAGCATGCGAGAACTCCCTGTGCCGATCACAGGATCATGACCTCGACTGCCGCTTGAGAAGCATCGTGAAGTCGAACGCTTGCCGATTGGGGTTTAGGGTTTAGGCTTTAGGGCTTAGGGCTTAGGCTGGGTTTAGGGTAAAGGCTTGCCGTGTTCAGTCACAGTGTTTAGGGGCCACTGTGGAAGTGTTTGGGCAGGTTGTGCCAGTCTGGCTTGCTTCCCGCAACTGCCTCTACCCAGGACTCCAATATCCCTTAGTCAGGGAGTTTTCCTCTACTAGTAGGGATCCTAGTATAGTGTAATAATGGTGACATTCCGTAGGAATCCTACTTACGTTGGGGTCTCTGGGTACACAAGCCAAGGCGACAAGGAGAACGATGATGACTTGGCCAGCGTCTATGATCACTTGGACACTTGGCAGGGATAGGGATAGGAGACCTGCTATAAACCCACATCACATCCGCAAGCATCGCATTGCACAAGCTGGTGCCTCCAGCCCATGCAGCAGCATGTGGTTGAGTGCCATCGTCAAATCTTTCTTCTTCTTCTTCTTCTTCTTCTTCTTCTTCTTCTTCTTCTGCAAGCATGTGCTCGCGAGAACGGTTTTTGTCATCATTTTTGAGAACGTCCCTAAACCCTAAACCCTAAACCCTAAACCCTAAACAGTGGAAAGTGCAGGAGCGCTGCAATCGCCGGCGAAGCAGCGCCCACCCCGTCCCAGTGCTTCCGTCGGGCCGGCTGCCACCAATTGAGTCACGGACCCCCCGAAACTTCAACCCTAAACCCTAAACCCTAAACCACCTATTCTGCGGTTGCGGTTTAGGATGAGTGTGGAGTTTAGGGTCAGCTAGGCAGGTGCCAATAAAGATGAGCTCGCATCGGCCCCCCAACCCGAAGCCAGAACTCAGACTCTCTCTGAAGTCCTTTTGTTCTCTTAGATGTCTTGGTGTTTGTGAATGTCTTCTAGCATACGGTTAAGTGGGTTGGTGGTCTCTTTAAGTATGGTCTCTACTTTATAGGGTCATAATATTCGGGGTTCTTGTTGGCTAAGGCCCCTTCCTCGCACCGCCTGTGCAAAAGGAGAGCTTGGCCCCGAGCTTCTGGGGGGGGGGGTTTAGGGTTTAGGGGTTAAAAGGGTTTAGGGATTTTCAAGCAAGAGAATGATTGGTATTTAGTTGGGGTACAAAAAAGCGAACTTCTTCCGATGATTGATCAATGGAAAGCCCTACGTTGTGCCACTACACATGAGCCTTCAGCAGGCTTTGGCGTTTAGGGGGAGGCGGGGGGGGGGGGGGGGGGAATTTCAGGGTGTTGCACGCATGGCGTTGGTTTCCCCCAAAGTCCGAGTTCCAGACCCGGTTTTTTAGGACTTTCAGGACGAAGGTCGCCTGACGAAATAGCCAGCAAGCAGAAGGGACCTGCGTAGCTGTTCGTACCATGAAGTTTTCAAGCCAATCGGCCCCACTGCGGCGATCCAAGCACAAGTGTAGGGTTTGGAGTTCATAGGGCTTAGGGTTTAGGGTTCAGGGTTTCACACTGGCAACCAGTCTTGCAAGATGCGGGATTGAGAACACCCGACTGGCCTTACCCAGGTTCCCCAGTTCGGCAATCTTTGGTACTGTAGAACCCCAACCCTAAGCCCTAAACCCTAAACCCTAAACCCTTGTGTCAAGTTTGGGACTCCGAGCCCGACTGCCAGGCTCTTTGACGACTTCAGACGAGGAGCTCACTCCAGCTGTGCCACAGACTGATGTGCGACTTTGCGACAGTTTAGGGTTTAGAGGTTTAGGGCTTAGGGTTCAGGGTTTAGGGTTTATAGAGTTTAGGCCCCACTTCGCTGTTCCCGTAGCTCGGACCCGAGGGGTTATTTAGGGGTGGTTTACGTACATAGGGACTATATAAAGTATATATAGGGGTTATATATGAGTTAAAAAGGGAAATTCAAACTCTGCACTTCTGATCCCGAAACGCTGACACACCCTAAACCTGCTCTGCGGGCTATGCGGGTGGCAAAAACACAACCCGAGCCTAAACCCGGCAGGCCCCTTCTCTGGCGCCGTGAGTCCTAGAAGGCCAAGAAGCACTGGAAGCCCTCCTACTTGAAGGTTCATGGGTAGCTATATGAGGGCCAACAGTGGAACTATAGTTAGCCTACTTATAAAACTAATTCTTGTTACCAGGAACCTCCAAGGAAAGGAGGGGCCAGACCCCGAACAACTCTTAACAAAGAGCACCAAAAGTCCTGCCTGACTCAAACAACCCCCAAAAGCCTGCAAGACTCCCCCAAAGCCTAGGGTTTAGGGTCTAGGGTCTAGGGTTTAGCCCTCGACCAGGCACCGGCTAGGCGCGCGTCGAAATAGCTCTTTCGAGAAGGCGCGTTGAGCGAAGTGCAAAAGGGTTTGTACCCTAAGAGTCGAAGTGCCCATGTAGTCCAGGGTTTAGGGTTTCGGGTTCAGGGTTCAGGGTTCAGGGTTCAGGGTTTAGGGTTTAGGGTTTAGGGTTAGGGTGAGAGCATATCCTCTATGGAGGAGAATACCTTTCAAAGGGCCCACGTCTGTACTGCATGGGTACATGGAGCCTTTGGGCTTAGAGTTCTTTACAGACCCTGAGGCTCCCAGTATCTGTGCCTAGGATTCCAGGATGCGGAGGGTTTTTGTAGGATTGTTGCAGGGTTTTGATAGTTTTTTGGTTTTCAAGTTAAAGGGGTTTGATGGGGTTTAGAGGGTTTATAGGTTTACGGGATTTAGGGTTTAGGGTTGCGACCTACGTGTGGGATCGGAAACCTACAGACGATGCTTGCTTAATTCGGTTCGTTGCCTTCTTCGGGAAGACTTGGACCGTACTTGGCATCAAGAGATGTCACCGTTGCGCTAGAACACTGCCGGTTCCGCTATGATATCAGGACCCATGTGCAGAACAACATGGCACGCAGTCGTGCATTCCTTAGATCATGTGTCCTTGGGCCCGGCATGACCCTAAACCCTTAACCCTGAACCCCAGACCCGACCCTGCTTGCAGATCGTGCCCATGGTGCCCCTGCACGACTTCCTGCAGGCGGCAAGCCTGCCCAACAGCAGAGGTTTGCAAATGCGGGGCGCGTTGTCTACACCGCAACCAGTGTAATAGTAACTATACATATTATAACCTTAGCATCACTTAGGGTCCTTAGAACCCCTACTTGTAACTACTCATGAACCTTCAAGTAGCCCTACGCCTTAAGCCCTAAGCCCTAAACCCTACACCCTAGACCCTAAACCCTAATCCCTTGGAGTAGGGGCAATCTGTAATCAGAGCACCAATATTCCAAGCTCCCAGACTCAGTGGGATGCCTCGGTCGCAGGCTCGAAGGCTTGAGATCGTTTTTCCAAAATGGCATGGCCCTGGTTTCGATTTTGAGGGTTTAGAAGTACTATATATACATACATACATACATATACATATATATAGTAGATATCATGTACTGTATGCTAGGCATAATATACAAGAATATACACACATATGTGTATATGTATATATATATATATATATACCTGCAGATGTTAGAAGTTTAGGGTGACATGCAAGCCTGCTGCAAACAAGGGGGGGCTAGTTAGGGCGCGACGCTCAAAGCAGCGGCACGCAAACCCTGAGCCTGCAACAAAGCCCCGTACCCTGAAGCCCACTAGAACCATAGCCCTAGACCCTGATCTCAGCTGTCAATTACGAGCTACACTGCCATGGCAGGTTGAGTGTTTGTTTTTTGTTGGTTTGGGGGGGGGGGGGGGGGGGGGGCCTAGGCGCCGGAACAGGCGATGCCTCGGTTTCAGAAACGACAGCATTTTCGAAGTCTTACATTGAGGTGTATTGCCTCTGACCCTAAACCCTACACCCTAAACCCTGAGAGAAATACTTAAACCCGAACCATAGTAAATGGTTCTAAGGGGAGCGCATGAGACTGGGAGTCGAAAACTGGCTGGTTCTCGGCAGGGAGGGGATGAGGTACCCTATCGAATCCCTTAAAGGGTATATATAAGTATATAATCCCTTAAAGGGTAATTCCTTCATTCTTAGTAGGGAATGAGGGGATGAGGCACCCTAAATAATCCCTTAAAGGGTATTATATATATATATATACATACATATAAGGCCCGAATTCCCGCAGTCCCTACTAAGAACCAGGGGGAAAAAGAAGCCTTGCCGAGCAGGGAGCCGCCTCGCCACGGCCCGCCGTGCCTGCTGAGGACGGCAGGGTTTAGGGTAGGGTTTCGAGGGTTTAGGGTTTAGAGGGTTCAGGGTTTAGTGTTTATTTAGGGGTTAGCGTTTCGGGCTACTAGGGTCATGGGTAGCTATAGAGAGGGTGATAAGTAGGGCAGCTACACTTATAACCTTACTTAGGGTACTTATAACCCTACTGATAGCTACCCATGAACCTCCAAGTAAAGTTCTGGGTTCAGAGCTGAGGGTTGAGAGCTGAAAGTTTGGGTTTTTGGATTCTGGGTTCAAGCTTCGGGTTTCAACCCGAACTCCTAAATCCTGTGAGCAAACTCCGGGGTCAAAAAGGGCTTTAGGTTTTAGGGTTCGGGGTTCAGGGTTTAGGCTTTAGGGTTTAGGGTTTCCAGGAAGCCCCCGCCCCCCCTGCTTGGAGTTTGGGCTTAACGTCGCCCTGCTTGCTGCATCTGCCATTGTCCCCCCCCCCCCCCCCCCCCGCCCCCGCCCCCCTGCTCCTCATGACGGCTTTACTCATGTTCCTACTATTGGCTTGAGAGACCCTCCAACAGAAACCCTCCAGAAACACGATTCTTCCTTATGGGTCGTATAGGGACTGTTATCTTTCATGTTTTTGTGGGCTTCTTAAGCAAACAGCAGGTTTGTGCAGAGTGCTCAGAGGTCTTCGCGCGATCCCAGGAGCCTTTACTCAACCCGTTTTTGGCGTGTTTTGTGTCTGGTCCAGGGTTTAGGCTTTAGGGTTTAGGGTTTTTTGTTGCAGCTGGTCATGGTTACATTCGTAAACGGGGGCCTTGAAGGTGGAACGAACAAGGTAAAGGGCTTAAAGAATCCAAGGCAGTTGAGTTCAAGCATCTGATGGAAAGCATCTGATGCATTCTACCGCGCTTGACAGGACCCAGTGGCCCCACTCGGAGGTTCATGGGTAGGTATAGGTGGGGTTATGAGTAAGGCAGCTATAGTTAGGGCACTTATGACCCCACTGAAAGCTACCCATGAACCTTCAAGTAACTAAACCCTAAACCCTAAACCCTAAACCCTGGGCCACACACATATCTACTGACGAGCAAACCAGGCATCAACGGCCCTCGCAGATCGTGTCGCATGGCTGGAGCTCCCTGGCCGGTTCTGGTAGCCCTAAACCCTCAACCCTCAACCCTCAACCCTGAACCCTAAACCCGAAACCCTAAACCCTAAACCCTAAACCCTAAACCCTAAACCCTAACCCCCCCCCAAAAGGGTCTAGTAGCAAGCCTCTCCATGCTGCGACTGGGCCTACGGACCCCTGAAGCCTCCTCTAAACTTTGACAGAGCGGTGGAGGGGTTAGGGTTTAAGGTTTGGGGGTTTAGGGTTTAGGGTTCAGGGTTCAGGGTTTAAGGTGGAGTGGTTTGGGGCAAGCTGATGCAGCTTGTTGATAGGGCGCGGTCGCCGCATTCCTTTGACAGGTTCCTTATACATCAGCTGCCAGCGCGCCGCGTGTGCTTTGTGAGCAAGTGTGGCTCAAACGGCAGGTGAAGCCCTAGCCTTCCGTGACATGTGACGCGACAAAAAGCCAAGCCATCAGTCAACCGTACCTGGCACACTGGCTACTTAGGTAGCTGACCACAAAAACTCGTCATCAGGTAAGCCTGCGTCGGACAACCTTAAAATATCTGACGCCCAGCACCAGCCTTGGAGTAAACTCTCAACCCTAAACCCGAAACCCTAAACCCTAAACCATACCCCCTCCCCCCCTCGCATATTCACCTGCAAGTCTGGCGCAAACGCTTAACTTGAGGGCAAATGGGATTTTATCAGCAGGGCTCTCTGGCCCCTACATGGGGGTCACAACCCATGAGATAACACGCTTGCCCTAGTTAGCTTACCCATGAACGCCCAAACTGGGAAGCTTGATTTAGCAACTAGAATACTATAAGGTCCCTTGTTGACCACCAAACCAGCCGAGTCCCTGGTGAAAAAAAGTCGATCGCCAAAGTCGCAGCCCGAGCGTGCAGCTTGAGCCATGTCGAGAAACCCGCTCGTCATGCACGAGCAATTCAATGATCAGGCGTCGTGGCAGAGTATGTCAAAACTGGTATGCGGCCCAACATATCCCGGCACTGAAGGCCTTAAACCCTAAACCCTAAACCCTAAACCCTAAACCCTAAACCCTAAAAAAAAAAAATGAAAAAGCTCTTGCGGGCAGGTGTTCGGCTGGCTCTACAATGGCGAAGACATCCCAGTGAGGCAGAGCACCTCAGAAGCACCAGAGCCCCACCCCTCAACCCTCAACCCTCAACCCTAAACCCTAAACCCTAAACGCGACCTGGGTTTCCAAAATTCGGGTTTAGGGTTTAGGGCACCCCAAACCCTAAACCCCAAATCCTAAACCCTAAACCCCAAACCCTAAACCCTAGACCCTTCAAAAAGAGAGGCCGTTTTTGTACCGAGGAAGCCTGATGTTCGACTGGCAGCAGCGGAGCGAGACGTGGGGAACGCCCCTCCTCGCCATCCTCTCAGGCCATCCTTTAGGGTTTAGGGTTTAGGGTTTGGGGTTTAAGGTTTTGGGTTTTTTGGGGGGGTTTAGGGGTTTAGGGTTTTGGGTTTAGGGGTTGGGGGTGTAGGATTTTGGGTTTGGGATTTAGTTTTTTTTTGCTTTAGTGTGTAGGGGTTTAGCGTTTGGGGTTTAGATTTTTTGGGGTTTTTAGGGTATTTAGGGTTTAGGGTTTAGGGGTTGAAGGGTCTAGAGGTTTAAGGGTTTAGGGGTTTAAGGGTCTAAGGGTTTAGGGCGTAGGGTTTGAGGGTTTGCGGGTTTAAGGTTCAAGGTCCCTCTGCATCACTATGCAATTGGTACCACCCCACCCTCCCCGAATCCCTTGCCGTTTGAGCTATTCATCCATTTCTCTTTCTTGGCTCGACACTATCTACAGGCTGCTTTCCGGAGACTTCCCCCCTTTTTAAAGAGGCTCAACACCAAGCCCTAAACCCTAAGCCCGTAACCCCAAACCCTAACCACTAATCCCTAACACCGAAACCCTAAATGAAGTTCCAGGGCATCTAGGAGGGTTTTGGGCAGAAGGCCAGGCTGACCAGAGGCCCCCTGGTCCTTGGGTTGTGGGGGACAAAGGGCTCAAAAAAGCCCGCAGCCGAACCGTTTCATTCAGGTTAAAAATAGTCGGTGGAGAAGGTTTAGTATAGTAGATAATTGGGCCCGAAAGCTATTGTGTAGCAATCCCCTTTGAAGTGCCCAAGTATGTGTTGTGTGGGACCCATTGGGAGGATCATTTCATGTCATGGAAAATAACCCTGCTTAGCCCTTCTGTGATCCTCTTGTTTGGTTCTTTGTAAGCACGGTCGATCACTCCCCACTCTAAGTTATATTTGCGATTATTAAGTTGGGCAAGTAAACGACAGTTGCGCATGATTTTGGGCTCGTTTAGTGACAGAGCAAGTGCATTCACCAGCCTCATGCGCGAGCAACTTATTGGGGTTTGGGTTTCCTGATGCCCCGAAGTTTCCGAAATACCCACCCATAGCCTCCCAAAAAGGCACTTGCCGGGTATACATGTCAATGCCATGGGTATCTTGAGGGTTTAACCCCGTGACAACTCCGGAGGTCAGCTTTGGGAAGCGTCTGAAGCGATGTTCGAACGACTCACGGCTGGTTGAGAGGATATGCAAAGCCTGAACCCTAAAACCTTAAGTGAGGCCTTTAAACCCTCCAACCCTGATGTCCTGACGCCTAGGCGGCACCGGTCCGTGATTTTAAAGCATAGGGTTTCGGGTTTAGGGTTTAGGATTTCAGCACTTTAATGGATGGTTTGGCTGACACATGGGGCTTGTCACGATCTGTTTATATTAGAGGAACCTGTGCCCTGGGTCAACGCTGTCTCGCGTCTGCAACTGGAGGTTAGTGAGGGGGTTTAGGTTTGGCGGTCCGATGCTCTGAGTCTGGGTTCAAAAAAGTTTATGGTACTTGTATCCCTACTTTTAGCTACCAGAGCGCAGGTACGAGACAACCTAAATAAATTTCTTCCTCAGGCTGGGCAGCACGAATTTCTAAAGGGTCAAGCTCCTCCAGCCGAATACAGGGATCGGAGAAAAATAGTAGTCGTATTCCCTTATGGTTTCTATATAAATATGCTCCAATAACCCCCCCCCCCCCAAAAAAAAAAAAAAAAAAAAAAAAAAAAAAAAAACTATTCTAGCAATTTTGGCCCCTACAGTACACCAAGGGAAAGTGGCACTCACCAAATGGGCGATCGGTCTCGGTGCTCGGCCGGATCATCACGCGCCGCCGAGGTGCTTGTGCGGCAGTTGCAGAGCCCCCACTTGGAGGTGGTTAGGGTTTAGGGTTTAGGGTTTAGGGTGGGTTTAGAAGTTTAGGGTGGGTTTAGGATTTAGGGGTTACTGATACTCGTAACCTTGCTTAGGGTTACTTGCAACCCTACTTATAACTAGTTAACCATGAACCTCCAAGCAACCCTGATCGACTGACCGAAGCAGCCCCCATTTCCGGGGCTTCAATCGTCGAGACTTTGAAGCAGAGGCATGGCTAAGTGCCGTGTGTGTTCTGTGACAGTTCCATGTTGGGCGCTACACAGCATCGTGTCTCAGCCCAGATGCTGTGAACACAACCGGTGCCCTTACTTGGGCCGAGCTTCCTTCGAAACAATAGTTGGGCTTTCAAGCCTGAACCCCAAGCAGTCCCAATCCGCGGCAGCAGTGGCTTTGCCAAGGTGTGAGTGGTGGATCGAGTTCCCATGGGAAGATTTAGCGCTTTGGCTGTCCTGGCCAGGGGATCACATCGTGGTTGCCTGAACCCCCGGTTGGAACAATCCATTTCCCGGACATACCATTCCTAAATTGGGATGGTGAGAGGGGGAGAGAGAAAAGTTGAAAGAGGTGCAGAAATAGAAGAAGAAGAAGAGACAGACTCATGGACTTTCATGATACTACAAAGCAACCCGGAGCCCTGACCCGAAATCTTGCCGGGTTAGGGTTTAGGGTTTAGGATTTAGGATTTAGGGCTTAGGGCTTAGGGCTTAGGGTTTCGGGTTTAGGGTTTAGGTGTTAGGGTTTGCAACCCCAAGAAGCCACAAGCGCCAAAGGTCTTGGGAGGAAACTCTGCCCTGTCTCTGGTCAGCAACGCCATGGACCTGGGTGCCTTGAAGCCTTGCCTGGATCATGGTAGCTTTTCGCAGGAAACGGGCATACCCTAATTAAACCCGAAATACTCATGTTTTTTGTTGTTGTTTTTCTTTGGGTTTGGGGGGTGGGGGGCGGGGGGCGGCTGGGCGGTGGGAGGGGGGCACAGGTTTAGGGTTTAGGGTTCAGGGCTTTGAAGCAAGGAGCGAATACCCACAGCAGAGCACGACGATGTGTCTCGGCGAAGTGGTTTTGAACGTAAGAAAACCCGATTGTCCAAGGGCGAAAGTGGCTGGGCATCTGCTCATCCAACAGACAATGTAAAAGATATCAGCTATTTCCGCCGGCAGCGGTTTCGGCACGTCCAGATCTGATACGCAGGGCTACCTCAGTAAGTGCTGAAGAGCAATACTTGCAACAGTCTTGCAACCTCAGACGCCTTTTATTCTACTACAAACCTTCAGCGACATGACGACAGAATCTGTGACATGACTTTCATGTTGAGAAGGCTATGATTTTGCGGGCTCCAGACTATCATTGTTAGTTGGGGTTTTCACGGCCTTACCCGAAAACCCTAACGTGCAACACGAGAGCCAAATTCAAATATATACCTCCCAAGTCCTAAGTCCCTCATTAAGCCCACATTCAGAGAATTCGGCTGGTGGCATCGAACTCTTTTCAGCATTGTGACTCATATCAGGGTTTTGGGTTTTGGGTTTTGGGTTTAGGCTTTAGATCCAAACCCAGACCCTTGATCTTCTTCGAAACGGCACAGAGACACAGAACCTCAAATCACAATGCAGGTAAGAAAACGCCCCCGAAACGCAAGCCCGAAACCCCAAAACTTCGCTGCCCCGTGGAGCATTTCCAGACGGGTGGCCAAAGAAATGCATGAAGCAGGGCTTATATTACTGTTATAGGTGAGTGTATATAAGGTTCCTTTTTACGATTGGTGAGTGTATATGTTGGGTGTCCTTTTGGAGAG